TCTTTTCAGACCCAGAGTTTTCAGCCTGAAACGGAGGGCCATTTTCAGGCCCTCATTGTTTCGACCTGCCCCTAAGACTCAGGCACGTAAACAGGGATGTGGAACAGGCCAGAAATAGCCTGTTCCTCACGAGTTCGAGCAGGAGCTGCAGCTGCAGCCCCTGCCTCCCTTCGGCAGGCTCAGGAGGCACACCCGGTAGTACATAGGAAGTTCCCATGCACTTCAGGATTCGGCCGCAGCACTCAGGAGGAGCGCTGCAGTAGTCTTCAGCGCTAGTAGTAGTAGCGCTAGCTGTAGTCTTCGGCGCTGGGCGCCATAGCTGTAGCAGAGTCTTCAGCGTTGGGCGCTGGTAGGTGGTAGATCGCAGAGTGGGAGAGAGACTGGCGGAGGCCAGTGTTACTTACCTGTGGCGCCATCGCTCCAGCTCCATCTTCGTGGTACCTGCATCAAGGCGCCAACTTCACAGGTTAGTATTGGACACAGAGAGAGAGAGTTCTTCTTCTTCCTCTTCTAAGTCCACCTTCTCTTCTCACCCTCTCGCCACCTGACTTCTCAGACAAAGACAGAGAGAGACAGAGTTGTGACTTGAGASTTGACGACATTGGATCCRGACTTGACATTTGGGATTCAGACATTTCGACGAGGGACTATTTGGGCTTGTGCCGAAGACTTGGTGTTGACGACATTCCCATCTTCCMCCTCCTCTTCGTCTAYCCCCTTCCTCTTYGTCTGTGTATGGTATGGGCTGGCGCAGTCTTCCTGTGTRAAGCGCCAGGCCCATTTCACACCATGTAACGATGATGATGATGTGTGTTCAGGGCTGCATTTCAACATTGATTGTTCGGATCACTGGTATCTAAGTCTTCCGTTGTGCTATCTTATACTTTGTATTGAAAGGTCGGTTCTTGTTCTGGTCTGCACGTTACAGTATGCAACAGTTTGGTATCGGAGCGGACCTCTCATTCAGAGGACCCGCTCAATCAAGTAGCCAGCTTGCGATCTATTGATCACTCATTAGTGACGCAAGTTGGACTTAGTGTAATGACCCGCCCAATACACAGACTGAGAACACTGCTGATTTCTGGGATTTGCCAATAGAATGAATGCCTTGCTGTGATTCCCGCATTCTGCTGTGGTCCCAAGTCTGTGTGTGTGCGTGCCTGCTGGTTTGCATGCCTGTCTGAGTGCTTGTCGGATGTGTGTGTGTGCGTGCCTGCTGGGTTGCATGCCTGTCTGAGTGCTTGCTGGTTGGGTATGTGTGTAACCCGCCCGGGTACTTGTTGGTTGCAAGGCCCACCGGGCCGGTACTTACCTGTGGCCGTGACTTTGGAGGGTTGCAGGGGGGTAAACATGCCGGTAGCGGGGAGTAGGCCCACGGCACTTAGAGCAGCTGGGGAAAAACACTCAAGTAGCAGGTAGGCCGAGCAGAAGAAGACAAAAAGTTGGCATTTTTAGAGGCCCAGGAGCGGTAGGTTAGAGGTAGGCCGGTACCAGTCCAAGTAGCCCGGGTCTAGGGCCTGTGCGGACAATAACAGAGTCAACCGTGAGGATGCCGTCGTGCCCGAGCCGGTCGCGAGGAAACAGACCGGTGACGTCCATGGCAATGGAGAGACCGGGTTCCCGTGGGATAGGCATCGGGTGTCGCCGTAGGGATTGCGGTTGCGGGGCTTGCTGCGTCGACAAACTTCGCAAGAGTCGCAATACCGAGTGACATCGGTAATGAGGTCGGGCCATCGGAATCGCTGTCGAAGTCGTGCAATACTGCGGTTGACTCCGAAATGACCAGCGAGTCGTGAATCATGATACTCGCCGAGGAGGCGAGTCCGAAGACGACGGTCGCGTGGGACACATAGTAAGTCCTTGCCTCTCGAGTGGAGGAGCAAGTACCCGTCGGCAATGCGATAATGGCTGGCTGGTGGGTGATCCGAAGATAGCTGCGCATAGAGCGTGCCGAAGTCCGGATCAGACTGATATGCTCGGATGAAGTGTCGCTGATTGAGTAAGTACGCGCGTTTTCTCCCTTGCAAGTACTACTCCACGGCTCCCGAGCTGGCACGCCTCCTGCACACTGGTTGGATTTGTGGCCACGGTGTACCAGAAGACATTGTCAGCGACCGCGACACTCGTTTCATGTCGGCGTTTTGGACTGCTCTCATGCAGGAGTCAGACACAACAATGAAACCAAGTTCGGCTCGACATCCTCAAACAGACGGGCAGACGGAGCGGGCACATCAAACGGCTCAAATGATGCTTTGTACGCTCATCCGTCCGGACCAGAAAGATTGGGTTGACCGCTAGGAAGTCACCGCCCAGGAGGCCGGTAGGCCGCTATATCTTCAGGAAGAGCGGTGAGCTCTTCCTCATTTGCGGTATGCAAGGATTGG